TAAATGGAAAACAATGTGTAGTGTGTGTGTGTGTGTGTGTATATATATATATATATATATATGTGTGTGTATGTATCTGTTAATTATTATTTTATTTTTTTCAGTGATTGTCTTCCTTGTAGCCGTTTGTTGTATTGTTGGGACTTATTATGCATTTAATCCAAACTTTCTGCCTCCTCTCATCGGTACACCTCTTTCAGGTAGAAGTGAACGTAAGAAAGTTTTACTGATTTTTATAAATTAAAATTATATAATCTCCAGTTTTAGTTAAAATATAAATGTTTTTTTATTTTGTTGTGATATGTTGTCTTTGATTTGTATTGTGAGCATTCAGAAAAATCTGTTCTTATGTGCTGCTGTTTTTATTCAGGTTTTTTGTCTCCAGGATTGTCTGTTGTACTATTTTTATTGTGTCTGATTGTTCTATAATTTGTTGTTTTTTTGTGGAAAATATATAGGTACACAAGCAAATCATGATTACTGGTGTTTCTATAATAACTTAAGAAGAAAAATCAAGGCAACAAATAACCATTTTGCCCTTCATAGTCACTCCTCATCCACAAAAAGACAATACATTCCAACATCTTGTTTACAACAAAAGTTAAAACTATTCACCCTTTAGTTACCTGCTTGCTCCCTAGGTATTTAAATAAAATAGTATTTATACTAACAATCTTCCAGTCTATTTACCTCCTTCTACTCTTCCTACGACTTTAATAGGATCAGCTGCTCGAGTCTTCCTAGATCCAAGATTCATATTTTGGTTTTGGCCAGAGTTTTCACAGTCGGTTGGCCAGTAGCCCTCTTTATTTATCTGAACTTAGAACCAGCATGGCTGAGTTCCACTCTATTTACTCCATGCTCTACAACTTTTATGAACAGGCCTGTTAAGGTCAAATATTCTCTCATCCTTTTTTAAAACTTAGTTAATTAGTCTTTACTAACGTTACTTAGTTTTTGTAAACAAAGTTTTCCTACCTATTTAAGTAGAATCCATCACATGCTAATATCTCTTTCCCTACCTATAAACCTATTCAACAATTATAACCAGTTATCTAGAGCTGGGCAATTTAATTAATTAATTAGGCATAATCTATTATTACCTATGAGCAGCGATTATATTAATTAGTATCATGTAAACTAATTGATTCATCAGAATTATCATTAAATCAATAAATTGAAACTAGTGTTTCCAGTTACTATCGTTTTTTATTATTCCAGCATTAGATTAATCCAAATTATCATTAAATTGATTGTCACAAAAATAATCAACTATCCAAGAAATCTGAATATTGCTACTATGTTTGTTTGTTGTTAAGTGTAAAGCTACATAATTGGCTATGGGTATTCTACCCAATTTTAACCTTGTATGTTGTTTTTATTTTTTACTTCAAGTTTGTTCAGTTTTGTTGATTTAGGATTCAAGGGTCTTAGCTTCAGTTCCCACTACCAGCAGACTTGCTCACCCTGGCTTTCTTATAAGCAAAGCTACTAAGGCACTCTGCCAGTGCCACTAATTTCGAATTGATGACTTGCAGCACCTGCTGTAAACTTATATTTTTGCTTGTATACACCATGGTTTAAGAAACACTGTACAGTTTGAATTTAATCAATTAATGGGCTGTCAATTAAGCAGAGATAAGAGTTGGGCAGTTACTAGTTGTGATAAGATCCAGATGTTGATAGAAAATACCAGCTCTGTCCCAGTCCATATTTATCTTGAATAATTTTTAGTCTCCTGTATTTGATCCTTGCATTTTGATATAGAAGAAAAAGATGTGTTTTTCCCTAATTGAGTAAAGTTTTAGAATTTTATCAGTTCCTAAAGTTGTTTCTACACTTAATATGCAGGTTCATGAATTTTAACTGTTTCACTGCGAAATTAATTTTCAGGCTGATTCCAAAAAAAATATCAATTATCCACTAAAAAATAAAAGTATGAATTTGACTCTTTGTATTAGTTTTTCAATATTGAAAGAAGCTGTGTTTTCTACATCAGACAGTAATATTCCTTGAAAAATAATGATTTAAACAAAAAAATTGAGTAACGGGGGATATTCCTGCATGTCGGAGTAGGGGAAGCGTTTTCTGGTAGCCATAGGGTAAAACCAAATTTTGCAGTCAGTGGGTATAAATGTTTATTTGGATATATCCAAACTATTTTGATGAGGAGGAACCAACTTTGAGACTAATAATGCTTGGAGACGGCTTGAATGGGTAATGAAGAAAATTTGTATTAAATTTTTTTCTTCATAACCTATTCAAGCTGTCTCCAAGTATTATATCCAAACTATGCAGTGAAAGGGTTAAAGATGCTGTTGCACAAATGTTAGCTTTATGTTTAGAATGTAGCTATTTTATAATCTAAGACCTTGCTCCTCAGGTCATGTATTCACCACGAAAGATATTATTCAAGTGATGGTAGTTTCGGAGGAAGCAAGGCTGGGTGGAGCAATAGCAACAATCAACAGTGTTATCAGTAACACGAAAAGCCCTGTTCATTTCTATTTAGTCACAGATAACTCATCAATTGATCATCTATCTGTGTGGATTGAAAAGTCTGACCTCAAAAAAATATCCTATGAAATTAAACTTTTTCCAAAAGAATGGTTAAAGGGAAAAATTGCTCTGAAGGATGAGACCAAACACGCAAGTTATGTAAGTTATCTTGAGAAATAAACTTTTCAATCTGTCTTAAAGTTATTAAGTTTAAAAGTTTGTTGATGCTATCTTCTTATGTCGTGGATAAAAATTATTAAAGAAAATATCGGTAGTTTATTATATATTGTCCCGATACGAATGTTTACAGGTTAATTTGTATTAGCATTGATACATACCACTGGAATCATTACACTTCAGTTCAGTAATTAGCAGAAACAACAAAACTTTCTAAACACTACTCATAAAGTTAGATATGGGTAAACAAATTTGGTTCTTTGTTACTTGTAATGCATTTTAGATTTCACAAGAGATGTCTTGTGAAGCAGCTTTAAACAACAGGAATCTTGAATATCATTTGGCCATTAAAATAATGGTTGATTTGTTTAGATATTCTTAGCAATCTAAGAATTAATGCTGGAAGAAAGAAAATTGCTTTCTCAAACAGTTATAATGTAGGAAAAACTATTTATTTTATTTTTTACAGTTGAACTATGCCAAGCTATTCATACCAAAGTTATTTCCCCAAATTAAAGGAAGGCTTGTTTATTTGGATGATGACAGTATTGTTCAAGGTAAATATTGTTAAATAATAACCATAATCGTCACCTTAAGTATTGCTATATTATTAAGGTGTCTGTAAATAGTGACATTATTATTCAAAGAAAGTTAAGCAATAAATAATATCTTGTAATTTGGAATTTATTCCTGTGTTTTGCAATGTAGTTAATAAATCAAATCTTGATATTTTATATATATATGTTTTAATTTCAAAAGGAGATATTTAGAAAATTCCCAATCTTCATTTGTCTGTATCACATGACACTTGTTCACATCAGATTGTCCATTTTTCGATTTTCTCACCACCCCTATATGATGATTTGAGTTTAAAATAAATTACACATTTATAATACACATATTACTAAGGTATAGTCTACTATTATAGCCTCCAATCATTTATTGTTTACAGAGATATAAACCAGAAAGTCAAACCTACTTGCCCTGCTTTTGTATCACATCCTCTCTTTCATAAAATGTTAATATTTCTCTCTAACACTTACACTTGGATTATCTATAACTAACACAAAGAATATTCTATTCTACTGATTTCTTTATAAAGCTCTCTCATCTCGTTCTAATGACAGTGTTTTAATTATTTAGCCTGAGGTTTCATTGTTGCTATTGGTGATTTAACGTCGACAAGATAAGTGAATTATTTTAAGGTACTTGTACCTTAGTTGAAAAGCCTGGTAAGTTAAAATTCTTACGGGATATTGTGTTCTTTGTTTTTGTTATTATTTTCTGTTCTGAATTGCATATTTTAAATAAATAAAAATGAATTTATGTACTACTACCATTGGCACAAAAATTTTAAGCTAAGTTTCATCAAAATACGAGGCCAGACATAAGTATTAAATTTGTTTTTTGTGTATATTTTTTTATTCGTCGTCATAGAAGTACCTAAAATGTAAGAATTAGAAAAATTAGGTTAAAGAAAAACGTCATAAATGAAAGGAAATGTTAAATAAGTTTTCTCACCCCGTCTGTACACAAGCTATTAAAGAATTATGTAATTTATGTAAGTAATTTGAGCTAGGCACTTACCATGTGCTTTAGTTGTTTTTTTTTACAAAGGTTTAGTAGTTAGACACAGTTGAAAGAGCAATAAAACAAATTAAATGAAAACAGTTGTGAGGACGAAAGGGGATTATATGTATTTTAGGATAAATAACTATAATTTCCTGTTACAATTTGCAGTCATTCTAGAAAAAAAAAAGGGTAATTTAGATTGATTTATTTTTCATTTTTGTTGTGGTCATTACAAGATTGGTTAAATAAGGTTAGGGTAGAGAAAATATGAGATAAAAGTTTTACAGAAGAATAACTTTTGATATTCATTTAGGAGGTTCTAAAAGTTATGTGAATATAATTTGAAAGCTGTAAATATTTTTTTTTACAGAATGACTAAAATGAATGGAGAGACAAATCTTTCACAGAAATAGAAATTTTGTTTGTAATGTTTAAAAGTCAACTAATAATATTAACTCTAAGGGATTCCTCTACCATAATTTTGTTAAATAAAAAGTCAATATATTTTGTTATTTATGCTTCATTGCAACTGCTGTTTTCATAAAAAATATGGTATGTGGTGTGAGCTTTTGTTTTAATGTAGTGTGGAAGCTATGTTTTATACTCTTCACATTAACAGGATTACATATTTAACAGGAGACATAGCAGAACTGGCCAACTCTTCAATAGCTGCTGGTCATGTTGGAGCATTTACCCTTGACTGTGACTCTGTGTCTAAGCACTTTAACTCCATAGGGGTAAGCTGTGAATCTATGTTCTAGCTGTTCACTTGACAGTTTTTTTTGTTTGTTTTTTTCTGTTATAATTTATAGAAAACATTTAGGTAAGGTCTGTGCTAATAAGGGTTGATTATTAGTTTTTCATCTATGCAACTTGTAATTTTTCCTTTTAGTTAATTTCTTATTGCTGTAGTTGAAATTAGACACAACAGAAGTTGAGATCCTTCATCGTATAAATTTTGTTTTCATGTCTTTTGAACTAGTTTTGTCTAAGGTGTGATTTAATCCTTTAAAGATTTACCTAGCTCTGAAAGAGTTAAATTAAGCTCATAAATATCATAGTATAATGCATTTGAGTTTAGTGAACACTGTTGAATTTTTCTTCACAGAATAAATATGGAAATTTTCTTGATCTGAAAAATAAAGCACTGAAAGATATTAAAATCAATCCAGCAGACTGTGTCTTCAGTCTAGGAGTTTTTGTTCTGAACTTGACAGAGTGGGAGTCGCAAGGGATTGGAGTCAAGCTTGACAAGTTAATGGAGTTAAATGTTAAGTAGGTATCAAATTTTTCAAGTCATTTTGGGTTATTAAAAGCAAAATATTTTTGCATTATTCATATGTTAAAAGTTCATTTTCAAGGAATTTGATACAAAATGGTTTGCTAAGCCTGTAATTTGGAAACATGCTGTATTTTCAAAGCTAAGAATGCTGAATGTAAATATATTTAGAGCACATAATCATAATGTATTTGTTGAGTACCATTCAATTAAAAATAAAACTGGAAAATGTTAATAAAGCAAAGTTTACCTGTTTCTGTTACTTTTGGTATAATTTTTTTGTCGTAAAAATTATCTCGTGTAATGTCACCATCCTTTAATTATTGCCGTTTCTTGTCGCATGATAAGTCTGCTTTATTTTTATTTATTTGTTTTGTATAATGAAAGAAGAAAAACATGATGCATGTTAACATTTTACACACTGAGGGCATGTAAAGAAGAAATAATGTGAATGTTATTCAAGTTTGAAATTTTTAATGCTTATAATGTAGGAAACTGACTATAAAAGGAAAAAATCAGTTGCAATCGTTCAAAATTTGAGAAATTCCTTGACATCACATGGTGGAGCAGGAGTTCAGGATGTGTGAACAAACTCCTCCTTTTGGACCACAAATAAACATCAATTATACGAGCTGTAAATAGTTTATAATCTGCTCTATCCAAACTTACACTTTGCCTTTACATGTTTTAAAAACAGAATTATGCTAGTAATTGTTCTTATTACATGCAGTGAGGTTAAAAAAGGGTGGGAACAACAAGCTATTTTAATAAAATCAGAGAGAGAGAGATGGTAAATCACATGAGAAACAAATCCTTAAGAATTTCATGTGACACCACAAATGTGCCTATCGGTCTAGAAAGGGTTAAATATGGATTTACATACGTATAATTGTGACTTACACAAACTTCAATTAAGTAAAGATTATAGTATTTAGTTTATTTATAAGACTTGTATGAATATTTATTTCAATATAACTTGTTCAATTTTCATCTTCAAGTTTCCATCATAACACATGCAGTTTTATGTGTAAAATGAAATAAATCCCCCTAAGAAAATAAAACCATGGTGATTCCCCTGTATTTACATATTTTGTAGAGAGGTTTTATACACTAAAAATAACTTTTGTAAGTTAGAGGAATAAGATCAGACTTTGAGGCCATGGGTGTATTATGAAAACAACAGTCAAATCCTGCTTTTCAAACAAGTAGCACAAAATTTAGCAATGTGTGCCCTGGATTAGCTGCATGCCCTCTAGTTTGTCAGTTCAAAATTAGGAATGGCTAAAACAGATATCCTTTCTGTAAGTTTACGTGAAAGTACAAAATAAACAAGCAAATTTTATTTTAAATTTAAACAAAGTTTTGGTCAGTAATATCACCAAGCTAAGAAAGCATTGAATAGAAGTGAGTCTTTGAATGATTAGTGAGCCTGTGAAAAACTGTTAGGTTTATATAGTTGGAGATTTAAGATTATATATAAAATGAAATTAATTTTTACCTTTATTTAACATTCATAATACATAATTTTTTGTACACTCTGGCTAGTAAAAAGTTAAATATTGTACATGCGTTATGCATAAAACTAAATTTTTAACTCATCATTTACAAATTTTTGTGTCAGCTGTAAAAGTGGGAAAAACATTTGTCTAATATTTTGAAATATAAGAATTAATATATTTAAAAAATGACAACTTATAGGGATATAAGAAGTTGTGTGGAAAACTAGTACAGATAGTTAATTAGACTTTATAATGGTGATTTCCTTGTGTTAATGCATGACTCCTTGGTGCAGACGTGAGCCATGATGCCGTGGTAAATTTTCTTCTTGAGATTTGAGCTATGTCAGCTCAGTTGATGTGAGATGGGGTTCTGGGGCTCAAACCTCGGCCAGGGTATATTGACTTTCACTTTTTACTGGTGCTTGCAAGTGATAAGGTGGAGTGAAAATCCGTTTGTAAGATTTCAGATGCATTATAAGTTATTAGTTAAAATATAATGAAATAGGAAATGTTTACTACGATGTGAGAGAGAGATGCTTTTCTGTGAAACATGAGGTTCGTGAAATATTGATGAGGTACATGCACCTGTACTTGCATGGCAGTGAATGAAGCTACTGAGCTGGATCAACATAGGTACAGGAGGATTGATCAAGAGGAGGATGTCCCTCAAAATCAGCAGGAGGATATTCAATGATCAGGTTGAAGAGTTGTCAAATTGTCAGCATGTCCTTACAGCATCTAGCACAGTTTTAGTGACTTTAAGCAATAAAAGATTTAAGATATAATTACCAAGATGTCGAACATGCCACATTGGATTTATTGGTGAAATTTTGTTGTACAATGTAGCTAACATTGGAGGTAATGGGCCGTCCGTCCGAAACAACTGCTTTCTAAGTAAACAAAAAAAATAAAATTATCTGAAAAGAAAATAATGGATGTGTAGGATAAATATGTTAATATAATAGTGTTTAGAATGTTTCAATATGTACAGGTAAGCATAAAGTCAGAACAATCTGGAGGGTAATAAGAAGTGTATTGAAACTAATTCTTAGGCTTAGTCTAGAGTTCTACACAAAGTCATTCTAGGTGAAATGCAGAGCATCATAAGAAGTAATGATTTTCCCATTAAGACAAAAATACAGTAAAACGTGGTGCTGTGTAACGCATATATATTTGTTCTTCCTCTGAGTAGCATTTTATAAGTACCAATTCATGAAGTTATAGTAATTTAAGTTTCAAATCTCACACTTAGTGGTGTGTTGTACTTATGTTTCAACTTCTGTAATATTTTCAGAAATATTAGTACTACTTGTCTTGCCTGGGATTTTCTCTCATAGTTATCATCTTGTACGATATATATTGAATAATGGACATGTTACAGAAAACAATTGTTACAGCTAATTTATGTGATATTGTGGATTTATAAATGATTTATAGACTTTTATTTTTAAGAAATAGAACTTGTTAAAACTGTTTTACACTCAATTCCACAACACTTTCTAAGTCTAGTGCACTTTATTTTCGAAGATGCACTTAGGATCCCTATTTCAGAAACAGTCACAATTTTCAGTTTCTGCACCATCAAGTTATGGAACTAAACATGCACAATTTCAGAAACTCTAACTGATAAGTGCTTAAGTGTTATAATAGTTATTAAAATTGCAAATACTTTCATAGATTATCCAGTAATAATCCATTTTGCCCCCAAACCCTTGTAGTTAGTAGAGAAATCTACTTCGAAAAACTATAACAGACTTGTTTCTGTGAATATTCCAGAACGTGGAATCGTACTTGTAGCACAAACTACAAATATCCAGAACATCTCAATGTCTCTTAAAAACCTGTCATGTAAAAAGATTATTTACTAAATAATAATTGGACATAAAACTGGCCAACATCTTTAAGATGGATTGGAATATACCCTATTGATCTGAGAATGGGAGATTTTATAAAATGCATAGTTTCTTGTGATGTGTTTGTTTGCCATGTTTGGTGATGTGTTATTAGTTTTAAACTTATCTTAATAATTAGAAAATTACTGGAACAAAAGTATCAAGACTATTTTAGCTGAGAAATCCATCTTAAAGGAGTAAATGTTATGATAAGTGACTTTAGTTATAGTGATACAAAATTTTACAGAATAAACTAGTTTCAGATAAGTGACTTTAGTTATAGTGATACAAAATTTTACAGAATAAACTAGTTTCAGAAGAATAGTGGAAATAACTGGTTGAACTCTTTTTTTTCTTCAGTACTGCTAAGTGTATTTTAGAAAAGATTAGCTTGTCATAAAATGCTCTGTTTTATTGGATTTTAGAAGTTATGTAAAACCAAATCCACCTTCATTTGTGAGTGATTTTTTCAAACCTGGATAGATAATTTTAATGCTTGGCATGTTGGCATATTTTATGTATTGTATAGACATACGATGCTTTAACTAATCAGCGTATTGTAAAGAAGTGCCAACATTTTAAGCCATTGCACATAGGAGTATTCATTGTTTTACTCCATCTGTGCTATATAAATGTTCAACGCTTGTAGATATTGTTTGATTCCAACTACACATTAGTAAAGAAATGTCAGAGTTTTAAACCTTTGTTTTATTAAGACATTAAACAGTAATCATGTAAGATTTATGATAATTGTTTACTGTGATATTTGTTTTGTATAGTGATATATGTTGAAAAATGATTTCCCACTGTGCGATATTGTTCCAATACTTTTAGAAAGTATGTTCATTGATAATTTCTTGTTTCAGGTTTGACAACAGGATCTAGATATTCAAAACATTTCCTTCAGAAAGCTAAGCTCTTGCATTGGGATGGACATTTTAAACCCTGGGTTCGCCGAGCCCCTTATTCTGACATGTGGAAAAAATATTACATAACCGACCCTTTCCACAAGTTTCACATTCCTAGTCAGAGAGAATCTTAATTTTGTATGTGTTCTTTACGTTTCTTTTTCCCATAAGTCTGTTAATGTTTACTAGCTCAAGAATTATATTCCCTGGCTCTGAAAGAAGCTATATTTATTGTTTTGATTACTCAGTTACAAATAGTATCGAATAGATATCTATTCTTTACTGTTGATAGGCAATTTTGTTTCTCAAATGGAGAATACACTTCATTGTTTTGCCAGATGATCTATTTCTTATACTTCTGATAGTGGAAAGTTATGTGTGTGGAAAGAACATAACTAGAAGGCTAATTTCAATGAAATTCAATAAATACTTTAATAATATTCATCGTGGGTTTCTGATCTGATTTGGCGTTCGAGAAATCTTACCTTATCAATAAGGAACAAAGGTTTCACTTGTAATAGTTTAATGTGGTTTTTAAATAGTCCAGAAAGTTAAGAAGGGTAGTACAAAGAGAAAGTGAATGCATATTCTTTTATGTATGTACAGATTATTCTGACTGATTAAGCTACATATACAACCAATTTGCTGTTTGAAGTTGTACTAAAGAACCTCAGGTTTATAATTAAGTCTTCTTCAATTAAATAAATGTTAATATTAACATACTTAATCTTCTGAAGTTTTTATGAAAGTTTGATTCAGCATAAATTTATCATTTCAGATGGTGTGCAACATTTGGTGTTGATTTTCATTTTTTTCAGGATCTTCAATTTAAGTATTGGTTAAAGAGAACCTATAGGTAGAAGTTAAATGTTTCTCAGTCAGATGTTTTATACTGTTTGGACTAGCAAAAATAAACTTCACTTGGGATCCAGGTTTTTGTTACGTATTAGAATAATTTTCTTTGAACTAGTAAGCTCGTTTAGAAAATAGTGTGTTAAGTTTATCAAGGTCTATCTTTGAACTAGTAAGCTCGTTTAGAAAATAGTGTGTTAAGTCTATCAAGGTTCCAAATTTTTATGAGTATTGACATGTTTTTCTTTTAACTAAAATAGCTTGGTGATTAGTGAGTAAAGTCTCGTTAGAATTCAGTCTAAGTACTTAGTTGTTTCTGTTTGGTTTTTTTTTCATGAGTTACCACATTTAATCAATGCATGTTGTTTTGTGTTTTATTTTAATGTTTAAATCTACACCTTAGCATTGTTAATTATAAATGTTATTTTAAGATTATACATGTACTCTACCAGCACAAACCTGAAGTGTTTTCAGTGATCTGCATTTTTGATAGAGATTAACAATGAACAAAAACTTTCGCTGTGACATATTTACTTTGTGTTGTGATAGAATATTTGAAACGTCCATTTCTGCAGTGAATGCTAAAACCACGTGCAGCTCAACAAACCGAAACATTTTGAAAGGTTAAAGTGATGAAATTTACGATTTTCATGGGTGACGTATGTCTTCTGCTCTTTTTAAGTCTTGTTGCTTGAATTTTTCTGGTTTGTTACAATTTTATAATTTACACAGTATTTTACTTAATATGTATCTGTAAGATAAAGTCATAATACATGTGTGTGTGGAAAAATTCATTAAGGAATAAAATTTAAACTCTTGGCATTCTAAGATTTTAGGTAGAAGTAATATTAGAAGTTGAGTATTTTGTGTATAGATATTTAGAAAATAAAGTTTAATATAACTAACTTTGATTTATTGAAGTCAGTTTTGCAATGGAAATAAACAACAACTCTACCTAAAAATTCATAATGACAATACAGGACAATAGTGATAGCACCCAGTGTAAGCACTTAGATTACAACTATACAGATTGTTTATAGTTCCAGTCTTATGAGTTGAGAGTCAGATAAGATATTGTTGAATTACGTTTTTGGAATAATTATCATTATCTGATGTGTGTAATAGATACAAAGACCTTAATGTGATAAAAAAGTAATCTTAATTATTACAAAGATCATAACAAAATTGACTTTTAGGAATACTATTCAACATACTCTGATGTCAGTGTTTCCACTCAAATTGTTTGAAATTTTAGCACTTTGAAAACAAATCTGGGAAAAATCAGTTAGTAATCCTAAAATAGACCCATTTGGTTAATTTTATCAAATAGAAAGAGATGGTTTAAAAACTTGAAAATTATATACTAGCATACACAAAATTGATGATTAACTCGTAAATACTACATTTGGTTATTTTACCCTAAGTTACAACTGTGATTATATATGCAGTACATCTAATTTTAATTATAGTATTTTGGCACTTGTGTAAAAAATTAAAATCATAAATAATATTCAACGTTAAACTGGTACATAATTAAAAAACATTTTATCTAGGCCTATCTATGGCCTTCAAAAAAGATGACGACTCTACATGTTTTGATGTTACAATGTCATCTCAGGAGTTGTAACGTCGAAACATGTAGAGGCATCAACTTTTTGAAGGCCATAAATAGGCCTAAATAAAATGTTTTTTAATTGTGTACCAGTTTAACGTTGAATATTATTTATGATTTTAAATCTAATTTTAAGTTGCATACAAGAAAGGTTCTATTAAATCATGTTTAGCCATAAAGAAAAAATAAAACAACATAACTTTTAATGGGATAAATTAAAAAAAATATGTTTGTATCCTGGCAGTGGGATGCACTTTTACATATTTAATTTTTCCTTTTTTTTTCATTTGAGCATCCAACTCAAATATCATGTGCTGTTTTTTGTTAATTTTCAATCCACAACAACACTGAGTGGTTGCTTTTAATATTGACTTTGCTAATCTGTTTCATTTACCTGAATTAAGAATGGTGGCCCATGCATAAAAAGTGTCTTAGTACTACAGAACATCTAAACGTATAGTAACAAATTTAAATAACTGGTGATTAATGGAACCAGAAGGAACTGTTATAAGTAAAGGACTAAACACATAACACAAATCAAGTCTAAATATCACTACAACCACGGAAGACACAATTTAAAACCCACCAGAAGAAGAAAAAATTATTCCAAATCAGTAGTCCAACAAGCCATGAAATGTAAACCCACTACAATACCATCCTAAGAGAATAAACTACCATCAGAAACTTAAAGACAACACCTCTATCGGCAGACAAAGGTAATGCCACTGTAATAATAAGATAAAGAAGAATACACCATCAAATCATAAATTATAGTTAAAGTTAGCCAATACAAGAAGATAAAATCTAACTCAACAGTTAACACAGAGAAAAAATAACCAAGTGCTCAAGAAATGTAAAAAAAAAAAAAAACAGGAACAAAATCAAAACACCACAACTATGGTCCA